CTCACATGAACTTGGGGAATATACCATTATGTATATAAAAAAGTCCTCTGCTGTCATGTTATTGAGCTCTGATTTAATTGGGCCAGAAGGGCAGGCTGTTGTTTAAAAAGAACCCTGCCTCTGAAGGTAGAAAAATGCACACACCTCTGATCCACTGATTGAGAGACACTCTGCTTTGAAATGGAAATGAATATCCGTTCTGGCAGTGGAGCTGGAAGCTTTTATTATGATAGTGCTTCTGTTATGAATGCTTGGCTGGGTTTCAAACGATTCAATTCAGTGATCAAATTACTTGAAGAACAATTTAAACTGTTCCAAACCTATAACATCAGAATCTCTTTTTGATGTGGTTTCTTGTTTGTTCAGAAATATAACGGGCACTCAAAGGATGAAAAATTTCTTCCCCTTCCAATATCAATAATAGTTTAAATTCAAAGTTTTCATAGATTATGTGAGGTTTGATGTGTCTCCAATCACTCGTAAATAATGCCCATTCCATGGCTCCTGGACCCTGAGCATAGTGCACAGTGGTTAGTGACCTTAGAAGATAACTGGGAGGCATCTGAGGGGGCATGGATGAATGCAAGGTGGCATGGGGGAGCATTGGTGGATGGGTAGAGGGTGTTGGAGGGGATGGAAAGTGAGATTTAAGGGGCCCTTAAACAATTTGGAAGCTAGCCTGGTGTGTTGGAAAACTGAGACTGCCTAAACCAAACAACTTTTACACTATTACTCCTGACACACTCCATAGAGGTATTCATGATGCAGACCTGACCAACGTGTAACTTTCAAAGGGGATTTTCATCCTTTCATACATGTGAGGTATGCAATGCAGAACAGTGAAAATGTACAGATGGGTTTACTTGAGCCCAGATTTGGCCTCCTACTTCCAGTCTATTAATGTGGATGCAGGGCAGCTGGTGTTCCCTCCAGTGGGCTACTGCCAATGCAGAGGGCTAGGGAAGGGCAGGGAGGAGAATCCAGTATCTTTCCAGTATAATTCAGCTGCCCAAGTTGTACTGTTCGGTTGGATTGCAGTGATGTCAATGATTTAGTTCAACACAATGAATGAATGAGATCATTTGGCATAGATGTATTGATGTGTTTATTCTAATGACAGAATTTGGATATCAGAGACAACACCTTTCGAATCTTGTGTAAACCACTTTTAATGAGCTGATTTATGCTTTGGAGCTTTGCCTATTACCAGCAGCTGTTTATTTAATCCCTCAGGACAAAGTCATTAAGAATTGGGACCTGCTATAGTTTACTGGTAATAAAAGCTCTCAGTCATTATAGCTACTCAGCATCTTATAACTACAGCCATATTAATTTGATCCTAACTTTTAAGTTACAAGTCATGCATCTCATTGCTATGGCTAGGTGTAAAATGTCTCATCAGGTCAGACAAACTGTCTCAGAATTCAATCACCAGATCTTCTCAGCTCAATACATTACCCAACTCAGGGATCTGAGAGATCAATTGAAAGGATCACCCTGCAGCTTCTCCAAACATCATCAATCTCACCTCCAGATAAGCCCAGATTTTACTGACTGACCAGCAACCATTACCAGCATTGTACCAGTCATGTGGCTAACAATGTTCCCTCATGAGTCAGCAACTCCTTTGCAAAGTTCAACATTGAAACTACATTCCCAATAATATGTTAAATACATTTTTCACAGTTAGATATAAATGATAACATTTTATTTTATGACTTCGTGATATTTGGTTTACTGCATCTCCTGCAATATTCCTGCCTTGCTCTACCCACTCACCTCTATCTCCAACCCCCCGCAACCCCCACCCCATGCTTACCTTTCCCACACCCATTCTGTTCAATGGCATGAGCCAACCGATCTGTTTTAATTATGCAAGATCAGACATTTTGACAGACTGTGTCTCCAGATACTGACCAATGCTTTTGGCAACATTTGGGTGGGAAGCAGGTCACTGGAAGCAAGAGACGGGGAGAATGAACTCTATTTTTTTTTGTATAGAACATGCTTGCAAGTTGAGTAGCTTATGTGAAAAGATGTGGCCCGAATAGCATGCAGAATCTGTTTCTGGGGGAAAATGCTGCATCATTTATTGAAACCAAAGCAAAGGAGGAAAATCGTGAGTAGTTATTCCGAATCTGTCATTTTACTTGAATGAGGTTAGGAATAATGATGATGACTGGAAATGTAAGGCTTGTTTGAATTAAGTTATTGTTAGCAGGTAAGGGAATCTGCAGCTTGTGACATTCCATTCAACAATAACTCTGCAGACAATTGTGGACATGTAAACAAATAACAAGAGGAAGAAGCTCCACAAGCATCATCATTTTCAATGATGGGTGAACCCAGCACAGCAGTGCAAAATGGCTGAAGCATTTGCAACCATCTTCAGCAAGAGGTAGCCAAATGGATGACCCATCTCAGCCTTCACCTGAGACCCATAGCAACACAGATACCAGCTTTCAGCCAATTCAATCACTGAGGCTTAATTTGCATCCACGAGGACCATCCAGATCTGACTTCATTAAATACTTGGTCCAAATATGGACAAATGAGCTAAAGTTCAGAATAAGGTGAGAGTGACTGTCCTTGACATTAAGGCAGTCAGTATTTGACCACATGTGGCATCGAGCAATCCTGGCAAAACTAGATTTAATGTGAATCAAGGGGAAAACTCTCCACTGGTTGGTGTCATACCTAGCACAAAGTAAGGTATTTGTAGTTATTCGAGGTCAATCTTCTCGGTCTCTGGACATCACTGCAGGAGTTCTTCAAACATCTTTAGCTGCTTCATTTAACCGATATCCATCCAAAGATCGCTAACGATTCACAGTGTTCAGCACAACTCATAATCCCTCAGATCCTGAAGCAGACAATGTCCAAATGCACCAAGACCTGGACGACATGCAGGTTTGAAGTGATAATTGACAAGTAAAATTCATGAATATAAGTGTCAGGTAATGACAACTTTCAAGTGAGAATCTAACCATATCCCCTTGGCATTCAATGGCATCACTATTACTGAATCCCCTATCAATACGCTGAGGACTACCATTGACCAGAAACTGAACTGAACCAGCCATACAAGTACTGTGGCAACAAGAGCAGGTCAAAGGCTGGAATCCTCTAGCAAATAGCTCATCTGCTGCCTTCCCAAAGCTTGCTAACATCTACAACGCACAAGTCAAGAATTCTCCACACTTGCCTGGATAAGTGCAGTCCAACAACATGCAAGAAGCTGAAAACCACTCAGGATTAAGCAATTCACTCAATTGGCACCCTAACCATCACTTTAAAACGTTCACTCCTCCTACTACTGACACAAAGTGGTAGCAGCAGGTACTATCAAAAGACACATTGTAGCAACGCAAAGTTCCGCAGAAGCACCTTCCAAACCCATGAGAAGAATAAAGGCAGTAGATGGATGGGAATGTCACTATCTGCGAGTTTCCATTCAAACCATTCACTTTCCTAAATTTGATCAGTATTGTCGTTCCTTCACCATCAAAGGCCTAGAGGTTCCTTCCAAACAGTGCTCTGGGTGTCTCTACACCACCTGGACTGCACAGGTTCAAAAAAGTAGCTCGTCACCACCTTCTCCAGGGATGGGCAATAAATTCTGGCTAAAAGGCGATACCTACATCTTGCTCACTATTTTTTTGGCCAGAAAGGTGACAGTTAGTTTCAAAATGATGAACAGGGACAGAAGGAACAAGTTGAACAGGAATTTTGAAAAGGGAGTTGGTTAAATTGTTGAACGAGACAGAAGTTTAGGGATGTAAGTAAAAAACCAGGGAATGTGACTAACTCAATTGTTCTTCAAAGGTATGAGTACAGTTGCAATGGGCTGAGTTGCCTCCTCTGCTGTAGTATTCTATCATTTTTCTCTGTTCTCTGAGGCATTGTGGGAAAAAGGCATCAGTGAGACTGAACAAAACCGGAAATTGACTCAGAGGATAAATATTCCAACGAGTATAGCATAGCCTCTTCAGCAGCACAGAGTACTGGTCCTATTTAGCTCAAAGTGATGCAAAAAGGTTGATAATCCTTGTATTACAGATGTCTACTACTCCAACCCTCCATTCCCATAAGGTAATCCAGAAGGGCTGGATATTAATGCAGATTTTGAGACTCACGAAGGTTGAAGCGGATGTGATTATGAGCATCCACTGACTTGCGGCTGCCTAACTGTGTAATATTGTTGCAGGCATTCTCCTAATCAGGTTCCTCTGCATTCACTATCCTTAGGGGGCTCTCAATGCTGCAGGCGCAAGAGCTCTGACAGTCTCCCTGGGAAAGTGAAACCAGGGACCACAAGGGTGTCTTAACATGGAGGCATCCTCAGACATGTTCAGAAATTTAAAATCTGGCAACAATTGGAAGTGGTAAGAACCCTTGAAGCAGAGAGAACATTGTTCCAGTGGATTTGTTTGAGAGATGGATATAGTCTTTGCTGCCCACAACCCTGTTATTGGGCACATAGCCTCTGACTTTGAAAAGTGTCTCAAACCATTTATTGATGAGGTAGCTTTCAAGTTGCAATTGTGGCACAGGGTGGGCAGTCTGCAGGCAGCAAAATGCTATCACGGTTGCAAAACTGGCCCAATTGGGGCATTCATTATCTTAATTGGCTGCCGTCTTCCTTGCAGGAAACATCCTGATAGTAGGAATTCGATGGGATGCCATCCCAACACAGCCCCCACCAATTTCCTGGCCCATTGCTTCCCAACTCATTTCCACAGGTCTGGGAAATTCTAGCCTGAAGCATCAACAGTTGACCATAAGTTCCTCAATCTTGGATGCCCAACAAAATCAATGGTTACAATGGATATTATCAGTTTATTCTAAGTATTGTATTTGCTGTCAAACTCTGCAGATTTGGTTTGGAATTTGAAGTTTTGCCCATCATTATTTATTGCCTGCTATGTCTACTTCAAATCAGAGTGAATGAGACTGTACATGGGATATTAATTATGTAGAACATAATCTCAGAGTAATACCTTTTGTCTTCGTTTTTCCTTCCTTTTATCCTCTGTAGCCTGCAGCATCTTTTCCTTCCATAAATTGAAGAAATAGGAGGAATCTGTGTAAAATTTCAACCCATCTTTTCTGTCATCCCTACAACATAAATGCAAAGAGCAAAGTAGACCATCTTTTACAAAACAGGAAAGGACACCCAGTGATACATTCCCATGATACTACTTTACCCAGTCCTTCAAAGGGCGGGAATATGCTCAGAATATAAAATCTAAACAGAAATATGCTGCAGAAATGACGCTGCAAGTATTTTTTACATGGTGACACAACTACTCTTCAAGTCAAAAGTCAGCACAAGTCATGATACATTTCCCACTACCTGTCTTCTGGTAGAATTGGCAACTTCATTGCTCTCTCGAATACTTTTATTAAATTTTTATTCCATTTTATAATAAAAGTTGAATTTGTGAAATGTCTCCAGCTTTGGAAAATCCTACCTCAGAGAATCACAGAACTGTTACAGCACACGTACTATGCCAGCTCTTCAAATGAACATCATTACCTATTGTAAATCTCCTGCTTGTCCCCCATACCCTTGCACATTATTTCTATCTGAATAATCATTCAATGCCCTCTTGAATGCCTCAATTGAATCTATCTCTACCACAGTTCCAGGCAGTGCATTTCATACCCTAACTACTTGCTGAGTGAAAATGCTTTTTCTCACATCACATTTGCTCCTTTTGCAAGTCATTTCAATCTAAACTGTCTCATTCCTTTTTTCCTTTTATGAGGAGGAACAGTTTCTCCCTATCAGCCTGCTCTTGATTTTGAAAACCTCTATCAGCTTCTCACTTAGCCTTCTCCTCTTCAGGGAAAACAGTCCCAAATTCTTCAACATATCCTCATAACTGAAGTTACTCATCCCTGGAACCATTCTTGTAAATTGCTTCTGCACGCTCCCCAATGTGATCACATCCTCTCTATAATGTGGTGTACAGAACTGTACAAAATGACTCCAGCTGGGATCTAACAAGTGCATGATACAAGTTCAACATCCCCTCCTTGCTCTTGTACTCCATAACTCTATTAATGAAGTCGGGATACTGTATGCTTTATTAACTAATCTTTCTATCTGTCCTAACATCTTTGATGATCTGTACATATATACACCCAGGTCCCAGTTCTCCTGCATCCATAAAGAATTATAGCCACTATTTTATACTGTCCTTTAATATTCTTTCTAATACAGTGCCTCTCACTTCCCTGCATTGAATCTCCTGTGCCACCCAGTCCACCAACATGTTTAGAGATAGTAAGAGCTGCCGATGCTGGAGTCAGAGAAAACACAGTGTGGAGCTGAAGGAACACAGCAGGCCAGGCAGCATCAGAGGAGCAGGAAAGCTGAGGTTTCGGGTCTGCTGTGTTCCTCCAGCTCCACACTGTGTTACGACCAACATGTTTATATCTTTTTGGAGTTATACAGTGTCCTCCTCAAAGTTTACAATTCTTCCAAGTTTCATGTCCCCTGCAAGCTTTAAAATTGTCCCCTGAACACCAAGATCTAGATCATTAACATATATCAGAAGAAGCAAGGGTCTGATACTGACCCCGGGGAACAAACCTTCCTCCAGCCCAAAGGAAATCCATTGACCATCCTATCACTCAGCCAAATTTAGACCATATAATAGGAGCAGAATTAGGCCACTCAGTTTGCTCTGTCGTTCAATCATGGCTGATATGTTTCTTAGCCCCAATCTCCTGCCTTCCCCCTCTAACCCTTGTTACACTTACTCATGAAGAATCTATCTGTGTCTTAAATGTACTAAATGAATTGGCCTTCATAGTCTTCTGTGGCAATGAGTTCCACAGATTCAACACCCACTGGCTGAAGAAATTCCTGGTCACCTCAGTCATAAAGGGTTGTCCCTTCACTCTGAGGCTGTGCCCTGGGTCCTAGTCTTTCCTAATAGTGGAAACAGCATCTCCACATCTATGCTATCCAGGTCTCTGAGTATTCTGTAAGTTTCAATGAGATTCCAGAGTCTCAACTGGTGCTCATATGAGGAGCCCTTCTTTACCAGGACCATTTTGGTGAACCTCCTCTCGATCCCATCCAAAACCAACACATCCTTCCTTAGAAATGGGGCCCAAAACTGCTCACATATTCCAAATGCAATTCTGCATCCACATTGCTTCTGTCCTTTGTATGCCATGGCTACAGCCATTTTATTCTATTTTCCTTACAAGTCTGCTGTGTGGCACTGTATCAAGTTTCTTTGGTAAGTTTAACTTCATCAAGCCTTTCTAATATCTCCCCAAAAACCCCCAGCAAGTTAGTCAAGGTCTTTTCCCTTCAGAAATCCATGCCAATTCTTCCTAATTAACACTGCTTTTTTCCATGTGACTACTAATTCTATCCAAAATAATTCTTTCTTGAAGCTTCCCCACCACTGAATTTAAACTGACTGATCTGTAATTGCTGGGCTTATCCTAATAATTCTTCTTAAACAAGGTTGTAATCTTTGCAATTCTCTAGTCTTCTAGCACCTCCCCCTGAAGACTAAAAATTATGGTCAGTGGCCTGCAATTTGCACCACTTGCTTCAACATCCATGGATACAACTCATCCGTCCATGGTGCCTTGTCAACACAAGTACCAACAATCTATGCAAGACTTTGTCCTTACCAATTCTGAACACTCTAGCAGCAGAATTTCCTCCTTTGTCACCATGGCCTCGGTGGCATATCCCTCTTTGGTAAAGACAGGTGTAAAATATTCATTTAACACCTCGGCCTAGCACCCTGCTTCCATGTATAAATCCCCTTTTTAGTCTCACCAGCCCTACTCTTTCACTATTTATATGCCTACAGAAGATTTTGGGACAGCCGTTTATGTTGGCCACCAGTCTCTTCTCTTTAATGATTCCTCGTTGTTTGTCTTATTTGCTTTTTTGCTTCCTTTCTGAACCTTCTGCATTCTCCTTGGTTCTCAGCCATATTTTCTACCTGACATAAGCACACTTATTCTTCTTTATCTTAATTTCTATCCCTTTTAATCCAGTGACCTCTGGATTGTTTGTCCTGCATTTCTCATTTGAGAGAATATCCCATGACTGCACCCGAGCCATCAAAGAGGAGGATGGACACAGCCATTGTTCAGGTGCAGTTTCTCCCATTAACCTCTTGTTTCAGTATATCTGGCCCAGCTCCACCCTTGTCAGTCCCTGCCTATTGATTTTTCTTGCTCTGGATTGACTAAAGTCATTCGCCATCAACTTGATGATAACTTGATATAATGATCACGGCCTCCTACCTGGACCCCTCTTTTTTACATGATACTTTACCTGCTCCATATGCCTACTCTTAAATTTCCAATTTCTATCACAGTATACCGTGTGGCAGTATAATGAAGTGGCAGATGGAATTCAACCCGGAGAAGTGTGAAGTGATTCATTTTGGAAGGTCGAATTTGAATGCAGAGTACAGGGTTAATGGCAGGATTCTTGGCAGTGTGGAGGAACAGAGGGATCTTGGGGTCTACGTCCATAGATCCCTCAAAGTTGTTACCCAAGTTGATAGGGTTGTTAAGAAGGCATATGGTGTGTTGCCTTTCATTGGCAGAGGAATTGAGTTTACGAGCCGTGAGGTTACGCTGCAGCTCTATAAAACCCTGGTTAGACTACACTTGGAATACTGTGTTCAGTTCTGGTCGCCTCATTATAGGAAGGATGTGGAAGCTTTAGAGAGGGTGCAGGGGAGATTTACCAGGATGCTGCCTGGACTGGAGGGCAGGTCTTATGAGGAAAGGTTGAGGGAGCTAGGGCTTTTCTCATTGGAGTGAAGAAGGGTGAGAGGTGACTTGATAGAGATGTACAAGACGATGAGAGGCATAAATAAAGTGGATATTCAGAGACTTTTTCCCAGGGCGGAAATGACTATTATGAGGGGGCATAATTTTAAGGAGATTGGAGGAATGTATAGGGGAGATATCAGAGGCAGGTTCTTTACACAGAGAGTGGTGCGTGCGTGGAATGTGCTGTCAGCGGTGGTAATGGAGTCAGATACATTAGGGACATTTAAGCGACTCTTGGATAGGCACATGAATGACAGTAAAATTTAGGGTATGCCGGGTAGTTTGATCTTAGAGTAGGATAATAGGTCGGCACAACATCATGGGCCGAAGGGCCTGTACTGTGCTGTAGTGTTCTATGTTCTATACTAACTTTGAAATTCATTCTATTTGGATTCCTAAGTTGCAGCAGTACAAAGTAGACTTAAATTCCATATAATACTTCGAGTCATAGAGTAATATAGCATGGAAACAGGCCCTTCGACCCAAACTGGTCCATACTGACCATGGTGCCCTCTCAGCTAGTTCCAACTGCCCATATTTGGTCCATATCCCTCTAAAACCTTCTCATCCATGTACTCGTCCAGATGTTTTCTAAATGTTGCTACTGTACTTGCTTCACTTTCTCCGGGAGCCCATTCCATATACGCGCAACTCTCTGTATGAAGAAGTTGCCCCTCAGGTCCTTCTTAAATCTATCCCCTCTTGCCTTAAACCTACGTCCTCTGGTTTTCAATTCCCCATCCCTGGGAAAAAAGACTATATGTATTCATCCTATTTATGCCCCTCATGATTTTATACACCTCAATAAGGTCAACCCTCATTCTCCTATGTTCCAAGGAATAAAGTCCTATCCTGGCCAACCTCTCCCTATAACTCAGGCTTACTAGCCCTGGCAACATCCTCATAAATCTTCTTTGCACACTTTCCAGTTTAATTATGTCTTTCCTATAACAGGGTGACCAAAACTGTACACAATACTTGTAGCACAGCCTCACCAATGACTTATACAACTGTAACATAACGTCCCAACTCCTTTATTCAATACCTCGACCGATGAAGGCCAACATGCTAAATGCATTCTTCACCACCCTGTCTATCTGTGACTCCACTTTCAATGAACAATGTATTTGTACTCCTAGGTCCCTCTGTTCCACAACACTCCTCAGGACCTTACCATTTACTGTATAATTCCTACTTTAGTTTGACTTTCCAAAATGCAACACCTCACACTTATCTGCATTAGCCGATCCTCAGCCCACTTCCCTATCTTATCAAGATCCCTCTGTAATTTTTGATAACCTTCTTCACTATCAACAGTACCTCCTAATTTTGTATCATCCGCAAACTTACTAATCATGCCTTGTATATTCACATCCAGATCATTTATGTAAATGACAAATAACAAAGGTCCCAGCACCGACCACTGCAGCACACCACCAATCACAGGCCTCCAATCTGAGAAACAACCCTCAACCATCACCCTCTGCTTCCTACCATCAAACCAATTTTGAATCCAATTAGCTAGCTTTCCCTGGATCCCACGCAACCTAACTTATATCTACTAAATCTCCAAAGCTAACAAAATTGACTTACTCCATTCTTTCATTTATTGTTCTCCTGCAACTTGTTTAGCTATGTATAAAGTTAAGTTAACACCTCACTTTAATCCTTTCCTTTAAACAGAAGTTTCTTTCAATTTAATCGATGAATAAGTTACCCCTTAGCAATTCATTATTCTACTACATTTACTAGTACAGGTAGTATAACACTTCCATACAAAAATGTTTGAATGTAGAAAGAACTGCAGAGAAAATTAAATTATAGATCTACAATAAGTAAAAACAGAAAACATTAGAAATACTAAGCAGAAATGTCCAAAAATAATTTGCAGACTTACAGATTCAGAAACAATGAATAAACGAGATGAGAATGAGTGAACTGTCCTATTGGCAGCAGGACATTAAATCAAAACACCTTGCTGTAAGGAGTATCTGATGTCTCCTATGGAGCAAGGCTGCAGTACTTTGGGTGTATCCACACCATGTGGAGTAAGTGGTTCAAGGAGGTGGTTCACCATCACCTTCTCAAGAGTGAGCCAAGCTCACAGTCCATGAATGAGTACATAATACATGAAGATTAAGAGATATAAGAGGGGCAATTCACCTTTAGATTTCTATTCGGTGTATTTTGCTGAGATAAAACTGGCCTTTCCAACGATGCAGATCCTGAAGGAAATAAGGTTAGTCCTGCACTGATGCAGTTTTGGACCTCCATCACAGAAGGAACATTTAAACCGTAAGAATTAGACATATAAATTCATCTGGATGATGTCAAGGTGGCAAATTTTAAATATGACAGATTGGAGGTAGTACAGCCTTTTCCATTAGAACAAAGAGGAGATTTCATCCAGGGTTTTAAAACTATGACAGACTCTCTGAAAGTGGCCACACAAGTAGAAAGGGCGGTAAAGAAGACATACGGTATGCTTGTCTTTATTGGTCAGGGAATTCAGTGCAAGAGTCAGGATGTCATGTTGCAGCTTTATAAGACTTTGGTTAGGCCACACTTAGAGTACTGCATTCAATTCTAGTTGCCATATTACAGGAAGGATGCGGAGGCTTTGGAGAAGGTGTAGAAGAGGTTTACCAGGATACTGTCTGGATTAGAGAGCACGAGCTACATGGAAAGGCTAGAAAAACTCAGGTTGCTTTCTCCGGAGTGGCAGATGCTGACGGGAGACTTGACAGAAGTCTATAAAATTATGAGATGCATAGATAGGGTTGACGGTCAGAATCATTTTCCCAGAGTTGAAATGTCTAAAATTAAGGGGCGTGCATTTAAGGTGAGAGGAAGAAAGTTCAAACGAGATGTGAGGGGCAAGTTTTTTTTTAAAAACAGAGAGTAGGAGGTCTCTGGAAGGCGCTGCCAGGGGTGATGGTGGAGGCAGATACAATAGTGGTGTTTAAGGGACTTTTAGATAAGTATATGAATATGCAAAGGAATGGACAGAGATGGACCAGGGGCAGACAGAAGGGATTAGTATAATCTGGTGTCATGTTCAGCACAACATCATGGGTCAAAGGACCCTTTCTTGTGCTGTGCTGTTCTATGTTCTATGGATGATAGGAGATCAGTGATAAAGCCATCAATTTAAAAGCATCATTACAAAATTGAGAAGTTAGAAAAAAATTCTTTAGAGCTCTTATTGTACGGAATACTTTATCAGGAGGCCTATAATATCGCATTCTTTAAAAAAAATGGATCCATGTTTGAAGCAGAGAACAATGCAGCATTGTTGAAGCAAGGCATGGCAGTAGAAGCAAGTTAGGATTCTAGGGGCTAACTGGAGTTAAATGGTCTCATCCAAGCTGTATTCCTATTGAGAGAGCAGTCATCTGTCCAGTGGGTTTAGGCACAAACCATAAAATTGCTTAAATTCACACTAAGTTATAGTGTCATTCAGACAGGTTACAAGAATGATAAATAAATAAAGGAGAGAAAAATATCATCCTGTACCAATTCGGCTATTTTTACTCTAGGTCAGGAACACACTGGGTGAAATTCTAAGGCTACCATCACAATTAATCTCAGTCCTGCTCTGAATGTGCCCATTCTCAGTTTGCTGGGTTGGAACAGTAAGTAACCTGCTCACGTGTCAATAATTTAAATTCAGCAAGAAGACAGACCTACATTTATATATCACCTTTAAGGACAACAGAAGTCCCAGACCAGTTTACTGTAAATAAGGTACTTTTAAAAGGCAGTCACTGACGTCATGTAGGAAAATGGCAACTAATTTAGGCATAGAAATTTTCCACAAAACAGCAATGTGAGAATGACCAGATAATCTCTTATGATGTTGATTGAGGGATAAATATTGTTGAAAGCACGGGAGATAACTATCCTTTTCTTCAAAATAATCCTACATAGTCTTTTACTTCCATCTGCAAAGGCAAGTGGGCCTCTGTTTAATGTCTATATCCAAAAGATCACAGCTGTGACATCAACCTCATCTTAAAGTGAGAATCGAACTCATAATCTTCTGACTCAGCAGAAAGCATGTTATCCTACTGACACACAGTATGTTAATAAGGCACTGTACCTTAGATTTTAATGGACATTTGTAAGAAATGGCTACAGGCTGAGTTTCCCAAGACCCAGGATGTCAAGGAGGGTAAGAACTAGCAGATCCAATAGATTATAAAAACAGTAATTGCAGGAGTAACTCAGCATGTCTGACAACAACTGTGTAAAGACACAGTTAACATAGTGTCTAATATGATTCTTCTTCGGTATTTAAGTCAGACTGGACTCAAATAGTTAATTCTGTTTCTGTCTCCACAGATCCTGCCAGACTTGCTGAGTTGTTCCAGCACTTTCTGTTTTTTATTTCAGATTTCCAGCATTTGCAGTATTTTACTGTTAGATCCAACAGATAAACACTTTTCCAACACTGCTTGTGGGCCAAGAGGAATACCAGTACTTCCCTGTGGCCCCAACACCAACCCGTGGCGATCTGCTATCCTTCACACAATTGAATCCTCTGGAGCCCTGTACAATACACCATTAACCAATCCCACAATCAGATCCCCCCCACCTCCTGCCCAGCAACCTGAAATTTACTCCCCAACCCTAGCTGTGATCCAACAACCCTCCACAATATGTCTCAGCTCCCCCTTTCCTGGACCCCATCACTGTCCCATGATGCAACACACCACAATCTAACACCAATGAATCCCCTGCATTGCAAACCCATGTGTAATACTTTTCCTGGAGGCAGCTCTCCTCCAATCGCTCATGATCTTTTCCCACCTCCACCCTTCCACTCTGGATCTGAGCTGCCATTTTCTACCAATGATTTCCTCATGGGACAGCTAGCCAAATGCTCAAACAGGCCAGCTGGGAAACAGGAAAATTCGACTGGACTCCATGATCACCATATGGCAACTAGAAGTCATTCTTCTTTCCATAAATAATGGGGCCACTGTTCAGTACAGAGAGTTTTGCTTTTTATCATGTCTGAGTGATGTCTGACTAGGCCACACTACATGCTGATAATGTCACTTTGATACCTGTACAAAAATTCACAAAACCTACTGGAAAAGAATTTGATTTGCTTATAAAGAAAAATGTTGGGGAAATCAATTCTCTCCTCCAAGATATTACACAAATTTGAGTGTATTTTCAAGCGCTAAATAAAATCTTACCTGTATGGTGTCAGGATGTTGAGAGGTGGTGGTTTGTCACATTGCTGGAACATTTCCAAAACTGGATTTGGAATAGTATTCCGTGAAACCACCTGCTGATCTTGTGTTGTTGAACTCTTAAATGCTTTCCTCATGTTGATGTCCTGAAGTGAGACTACAAACAAAAACAAACAGATGGTTATTGAAATACTAAATCCACCTTTATTTAACTGACGATTTACAAGAAAGGTGAAACGTTCTTTTCAACCACAACTTATTTCTGTTCAAATGTCCCTCTTAAATATTCTCACTAATTCTGTTGCACTAATTTTAAGGGCACATGTTGAAGTTCTCATTACCAGTGAATGTTCAATACAAACAGATTTTGTGATGATTCAACAGCACTAGTGGTCACTGTTCTCTTTATGGGCTGGGAGAACTCCAAAGATTCTATTCAATAATTTCTTCCCCTCCAATCACTTTCTGCCAATTTCTCCGCTCCCTCCTTTCTTCTCTATGTAGATCTTTGATTTTGTGAGCAATAATGCCCTGGATTTAGAAAATTCCAGAGACGGTTCAGTAGGCTGATCCCAGGTATGGAAGGATTATCTTATAAGAAGAGGTTGAATGGCATCAGCCTGTACTCATTGGAGTTTAGAAGAATGAGAGGCAACCTTATTAAAACATACAAGATTCTTAGGAGAATTGTCAGGTTAGATGTAAAAAGATTGTTTCCCTTTGTGGAAGGGTCTAGGATCAGAGAGCATATTTTCGGACTGAGGGGTCGCCATATAAGACAGAGATGAGGAAGAATTTCTTCTCTCAGAGAATAGTGAATCTGCGGAATTCTTAACCAGAGAGGGCTAGGGAGGCTGTGTCGTTAAGTATACTCAAGGCTGGGATAGATTTTTAAACAGTAAGGTAGGGTTATTGGAAAAGGGCAGGAGACTGGAGTTGAGGATCACCAGATCTCATTGAATGGAAGAGCAGACTTGATGAACTGAATGGCCTACTTCTGCTCCGATGTCTTATGGCCACCCTATCAAGGCCTTTCTTTCTGGCATTGTTCCATCTACACCTTGCTCAAAATCTATCATATCTCTAACTTTTCCCAGTTCTGACGACAGGTCATTAATACTGTTTCTCTCTCCACAGATATTGCCTGATCTGCTGAGTATTTCCAGCATTTTCTGTTTTTATTTCAGAATTTCAGTATCTGCAGTATTCTATTATTTCATTGGTGTGGAACTGGTAGGATATGCCACCTGAAGACCTATCAAATGGCTCCACAGCAGCAGAAAGCTGCTCAGTTCATTGAGCCAAGCTAGCTTGGATGCAGTCACTGAAATTCTTGTGGTACTTCTTCTCCAAGTTCAGGGCTAGATTCCTGGCATTGACTAAAAAAAAACTTTTGTAGGGTAGAAGAAAATGTCAAGGAAAGGGATGTAGAAAGAGAGAAAGCAGATAAGCTACTCAGCAACCAGAGGACAGTGTAATGAATAACTTGCAAGGAATTATTAGATGGTTTAAATCTCATTCTGATGAGATAACGAAAGGGTTCTTAGAGCCCTCTCTAATCTGTTGACTGCTTGTCCTAGAGTCATACATTCATAGAGGTGGACAGCACGGAAACAGACACATCGGTCCAACTCATCTATGTCAACCAGCTATCCATAATTAATCTAGTTCCATTTGCCAGCATTTGGCCCATATCCCTCTAAACCCTTCCTATTCATACACCCTTTCAGAAGCCTTTAAATGTTGTAATTGTACGAGCCTCCATCACTTTCTCTGGCAGCTCATTTGATACACGCATCACCCTCTGCATGAAAAAGTTGCCCCTTAGGTCCCTTTTAAATCTTTTCCCTCTCACCATAAACTTATGCCCTCTAGTTTTGGACTCCCCTACCCCAGGGAAAAGACCTTGTCTATTTACCCTATACATGCCCCTCATAATTTTATAAACCTCTATAAGGTCACCTCTCAGCCTCCGACACTCCACAGAAAATAGCCCCAGCCTATTCAGCCTCTCCCTACAGCTCAAACTCTTCAACCCTGGCAACATCCTTGTAAATCTTTTCTGAACCCTTTCAAGTTTAACAACATCCTTCCTGTAGCAGGGAGACCAGAATTGCACCCAGTATTCCAAAAGTAGCCTAACCATGTCCTATACAGCCACAAAATAACCTCCCAACTCCTATACTCAATGCACTGACTAATAAAGGAAAGGGCATCCTGAAGATACAGGGCATCTATTCTCATTTTCACATCCTCCAGCAAGACCTACAGCACAGTGTCGGAAACTCTCAAGAATTTGCTTTCTCCCATACCGTGCTTTTCTTCTGTCATGCCCAAGGAATATTGAGCTCCTACATGAGTCTCAGCAACGGCTCCAGCCACACCGCACCTTCTTTAACTTTAAGGAATGCTAGGATGTTTTGTTTTCAGACCTGTTGCTGATGTATGCAGCTAACAAACGGCACGATGAACATGGGCAGTTAATCTGATCAGCAGACAATACAAAGTGAGCTTGCTCCCTGCATTTTTGTCTGTAAGAGTTTGAGGGTGTGTGTCTAATTTAGCCCTACTAGAATTAAAAACACTGGAAAGGCTCATACAAGGAAAACAGCAAAAATGGGGGACAAATTATACAGGAAACAGGAGTTAATAACAGGAAATGGTAGATGCATTCTGTCGTTTGAGATTATCAAGAAGAGATAAGACTGGACAAATGTGACAAATGAAAATCACAGCCAAGAGCAGAACAAAATCTCTTCCATGTTGCCATTTCTGGGAGGGGAATGGAAATGGCAATAAATCAAAGGGGATAAATGGAAAGGAAAATCTGTGAAAGCTGAACATCTGAAAAAGAGGCAGAGATTCTAGAAATATGTGCATCAGGCAAGATCTGAAAAAAGGTAAGTTTAATTAGTTGTGAAGAAGTCATACCAGATTTGAAACGTTAACTCTATTTCTCTCTTCATAGATGGTGCCACACCTGCTGAGTTTCTCTAGCATTCTCTATGTTTCAGATTTCCAGAATCCATGATATTTTGCTTTTCAAGTTTAATTAAGTTCTGTTCCTCCCTTCAACATCTTTCTCTCTTTCAATTCTTTGCAGAACTGTCAGATCTACAGCATGTTTTTTTTCGACTTAATCTCTGCACTTTAAACTGTATGCACTTTTTCCTCCATTTTCTTTCTCTGGGATCTTCCTATGGTTTACACCATCTTAGAATTATAGAAACGTGGAAAATAGGAGCAGGGTAGGTTATTTGACTCATCAAGCCTGCTCTACCATTCAATATTACCACGGCTCATTATCTACCTAATTGTCATATTCCTATTTTCTCCCCATACCACTTGTTGCCTTTAAAATCTAAATATTTATCTATCACTTGCTTGAATATCTTTGTTCATTCTTCCAATCTTCCAATTGGCGTTCATTACCTCATCAAAATGAGATTTAAACCATCTAACAAGTTACTCATTCCACTAGTTGCTGAGTAGATTAGCTATTTTCTATCTCTCTCCTCCTCCTCCCCTGACATTTTCTTCTACTCTACAAAGGTTTTTTTTCCAGTTATCAGGAAGAGTTTTGGAAACCTTAATGCACCTTTCCTCTCTCCTGGTTCTGATATAATCACTCCGCTTTGGCCATTTCCATTTTTATATTTTTAAAAACATCACCACATAGAAAATGTTCTCAATTACTGAAGTGAAAATTTCTGAAGGGATTTCAGGTGTAGTGCTAAACATCCATTGACCTGCCTTCTTCATCCCTCTAAAAAGAAGTGTGAAAACTTGGTGAGCTCTTATGCCCAAGATAGAAATTTCAGTTATCTTTGCTGCTTAACTAATCAAGATAAAGCCGTACCCAGCCTTTATGCTGACCACCTTCCCCTACCTCTACTAGATACAACAGTCCAGAAACCACAGTTTTGATATCAACAAGAGGGCAGGGAGGATGTGGTGGACGCCTGTAGTCAGTGACAAACCCAGCAAGAAATGGAACCGGGCCTCACTTAAATAATGCACGTATATAAAATATATAAATCAGATAATATCCAAGCACACCAAGTTTACAGGAAATCAGCAAAGGCTACAGGTTTAACATACCAGTTGATATCATAAGAAAATTAATTATTTACCCGTATACATCCTCAGACAGGGTTCATTTTATATACTGTTCTTTTTAGCTGAGGATAAATGCTTTCTACCAGAATTAATATCCTGTGTTAACAAGCTGTAGGGGAGTGCGCGGGCACAAATGCATTCGTAAGCAGAAGAATACAGCTAGAGAGATCTACAGGACATTACTCAGTATTACAACACATCGACTGTATATTTGGTGGAAACAGGGGAGGAAGCATCACCGAGGGCAAATTCATTTTCACAGTTGCTGTTGCGGGGTGCTGGCTGCTGTTTCCAAAATGAAGGAAAGGTGGGAGATATTTGCTTTCGAACAGACAAACCATGATCAAAAGCAAAGCCCCACAGTGCAGGACATCTGTGGATCTCCCCTCTGTGACACATCATGATGCTGCAAACCACAGAGTGGCTCCCAGGCAGGATATTACTTTCAAATGTGACTCCCAATAGAAGTCTGTAAAACACCTGCTGCAGCTAGCCCCTTTTCAAAATGGTCTAACACCAGCTGCATTAACCATTAGCAGTCAGTATCACATGGGAAAGTAGAAAAATCAGAACAGGCAGTGCATTGTGCCCATCAAGCCTGTTCTACATTCAGTTCAAACCTGTACCTCAGCTCCATTTACTACTTTTTGATGCATATCTCTTTGTACCATACCAAACCAAAAAAAAACTATCGACTTCAATTTTGAAAGTTTCAATCATTCCAGCATCCACAAACTTTTCAGGAGAGAGGTTAATATCTCCACTACCCTTTGCTCTCTGATTTCACTCTGACATGTATGTCAGTTTAATCATGTGTGCTGATGACACTGAACTGTCAGTCACCGTAACATAATTATTCTTGGATCACACACAATTTCCTCCTCTTAAAACCAGGAAAATCAAAGCCATCATCTTTCGCCTCTGATACAAACACCATACTCTTGGTCCTGCTTCCATCCTTCTCCTCAACTAGTCAAGTGAAGGAGAGTATGACCAAACTTCATCTTTTTCGATCCGCTGTTGAACATCTGACCCTCTAATAACAACTCATATCTACTTCCATTTCCATAACTCTGTTTGCTTGCACTCATGCATCAGCCCATTTTCTGTTGAACAGTAATATACGCTTTCGTCATCCTTAAACCTGACTATTCCAATATTTTGAAACCCACCACCTATTCTTCATCCACCATAAAATTGTCCATGTTAAAAGTTAATACAAATATCCTATCCTGCACCAAGTCTCTTTGGCCTATCATTCTTAACCTTGGTTTCCTCTGTTGGCTCGGAGTAGCCCAATGACTCCAATTTAAAATTTTCATTTTCACGTTTAAACCCTTCATGACTTTCCTCTTTCCAATTCTGTTACCTCCTCGAGCCTTAGAGTGCCGTCGTAGTCTCAAGTTCTTCAGGATCTGGACTCTGCATATCACCCTTCTTTTCACCTACACAGATAGCTATGTGTAGGTCCTAAACCAGGGCTTTCTAAAATGAAGGTCAGGATATCAAGAGGGATCACAAGCTTGGAGGCAGAATCTCAGTCTAAATTTTAACAGTTGTCCTCCTATTTTAGCTGGTGTCATTGTTAGAGGCAGTATCATTATCCACCATCTACCCACTACCACAGATCTCTGTGATCTCTTAAGTGCCTTGGAGTTTTTGTTTGCTATAAAGGTGGTAGAAAAATCCAGATTGTACCTCATACCAAAATAGAGACATTAAATCCTTCATATTGTACAATCGTGCCTCTGAGTAGCTCCTTGCCACATTAAAAAGTGCTATATGAACTCAAGCTGTGATTTATTTTCGTGAGTGTATTGTCAAATGTTTATGTAGACATCGTGGCAATCATTGGCGGTCTCCAAAGTACGGAGAGTTGGAATTTAACCCTGGAGGGCTGTACACCCTGAGGATGTACATATAGAAATAAATTATGCGAAGATGGCTTGAAAGGACCCAAAATATAGCAGTCTTGTTATAGGGCTGCAGGAAAAAGACCATTCACAGCAGCGACATTTCAGTGTTAAAAATCAGATTAAACAACATGAATTAGTGAGACTATATCATTTTGAAATATTTAATTTAACAATCTCAATTTTGACAGATCTTGTTCTGAGAAATAAGCAAACCATGAACTTAATTCTTATTGGTTTCTTGATTAAGTTATAATTACACATTGAACTTGTCATCAAGCAGTCAAACATTGCGCAAGATTTTTGACCCAAACGTTATCTTCAAGGAAATGGAAAATGCTGAAAGGTTAGCTTCCTGAACCTGTAAAGGTTTGCCTTGTTTGTACATTGGAGGGCATGAAGAGCCAACAAGATAGGTCAGACCGCGTGCAGGTGGCAGACACATTTTCATTACTTTTGGTGTTGGCACATAACAAAAACATTGGTGAAGCGCAAGTTCACAGTTTCCCATGTTGCAATTTGAACCGTCTGGTCCAGAACCAAAAACCACTACAATTTTATGCAAAGTCAGTTGATTTACTTTGATATTATCTTATCTGCCAAGAGAAGATTTGAGATTATGTTGATTTCGAGACAGAGTTCTTGCCATTCGTCAGTTATCGTGAAGGTAAGATCACATTTATAAATTTGTCACAGCAATAATTGCTCCCCAAAGTCAGTACAGCAGGAGTAAGCAACAAGTTCTGACTGTTAAAAGAAAGAATACAAATAGGTTTCTGTAAATGTAATAAGTTGTCATTTTACGAAACAAGTCTGATCTGTGAACTTGGAAGGTTGGCCAATGTGCAATTACGAATGAGTATAGATGTCTTTGACAAAATGTGTTGTGACAAGTTCCTAATATGTGTTCTTCAATTCTTTACTCACGCTCTTTAAAAAACTATTTCTGAAATGTCAGTAGAGTTTGTATTTTAAAAGATTGAGATCAAATGGGAAAAGAAGCTTCATCATTCAAAGAGATAGTAAGAACTGCCAATGCTGGAGTCAGAGATAACACAGTGTGGAGCTGGAGGAACACAGCAGGCCAGGCAGCAGCAGAGGAGCAGGAAAGTTGATGTTTTGGGTTGGGACTCTTCTTCTTCATTTCTGTAGAAGGGTCCCGACTCAAAACGTCAACTTTCCTGCTCCTCTGATGCTGCCTGGCCTGCTGTGTTCCACCAGCTCCACCCTGTGTTATCTCTTCTTCATCCAAATTCATTTTTGTATGCAAAAGTAAGTCTATAAACATAATTAGCAATTTAGTCTGAAAAGGTTGGAAATAGTATTACCAGCCAAAGAGAACTTTTCAGGCCTAGTATGAATAAAAGTTGCCCTTCTTTATACTCCCAATTGTGCTTTCTAATAATTTTTCAGAGCTTCTTTTTTTCTCATCATGCTTTTTTGGCCACATGCAATCAATCTGGCTAATCTCATTGGCCAACACACAACATAGTGCACAAAACCCTGCCGACACAATTCAGTATAAGTGTTTTCTAGTTTGCATCGGTCTGTATCCCACTTTCCCAGTTCACTCACCTTCCTCCACAGTGGAGTCCAGTTGAGTGACTTTAATTGCCAGACAATCAATTCTCTCCTGAAGACAATTAACTCGCATACAGAAATTGTTAGCTTCATTAAAGAGCTCACCAAATATATCTTCAGCATGTCTGCCTGTTAGAGAGAAGATGAAACATGCCAGTTAGAAACACTGTCCAGGCATCTATTTTGAATGCTGTCAGTTTAATGAAAAACAGACAACTTAATATGCAATCTGCATGTTCAGAAGAAACTGTAGGTGACAAAGGTATAATTGCAGTTTGTTTTTTGATGCTGCCAGGAGATACAAGTACAGTTTACTGTAAATGGCCAGATTTTGATGCTATGTTGCTGGGGTCAATGCTTAAATTTGTAAGTTGATAAATAAGATCAAGAAAGCACATAGTCCAGAGTATGGAGGTTTCTGATCCCATCCCTACACATTTCCTTACATCCAACTGTTCATTGCATGAGTGACACGAGGACGACTACAACATTAAAAACAGAAAGAACTGCGGATGTTGTAAATCAGGAACAAAAAACAGAAGCTGCTGGAAAAGCTCAGCAGATCCGGCAGCACCTGTGAAGGAAAATCAGAGTTAACATTTCAGGTCTGGTAACCCTTCAGAAAGTTTTGGATCCGATAACCCTTCATCAGAAAGTTTTGGGTCCAGTGACTCTTCCCCAGTTCTGAGGAAGGGTCACAGGACCCGAAACATTAACTCTGATTTTTCTGCACAGCTGCTGCCAGACCTGCCGAGCTTTTCCAGCAACTTCTGTTTTGTGACGACTGTAACATCGTTCGTCTCTGCCCAACTCAGCTCTTCAGCTGCCAAAACCTATATTACTTCCACACTTGGTTAATTTAAAATACTCCTGCCGCCCTCCATTAACCTGAGCTCATTCAAAACTTTTCAGTCAGTGTCTTGGACTGTTTACCCATACCTTCATGCTCAACCTACATATGCAGTTAAAAAGCACAGTGCAAATCTCTTATTAGTCTGGCATCTCCCAATCTCTGTAACATTCACCAGTCCCACAATTCTTCAGAATATTGGTACTCTGCTAATTTCAGCTACTTGAGCATCCCCAAGATTTCTATACCATTGGTGACTACATCATTAGCCGCATGCCAAGCTTCTGAATGCCCTCCCTGAATAATCCATCTCTCTACCTTATTTTTCTTCTATTACTCCCTAAAACATTGCCCATGCTTTTAGTCATCTGACCTTGTAACTGATTGCGTGGGTCAGCATTGTAATTTGTTTCAGAATGCTTTTCTGAAGCACTTAAGGACACTTTAAAGCACAGTTTTCTGTCACTTCAGCTTTGTTAACAATCTCAAAGGAGAACTTGTAAAGCCAAGCAAAATGTGTAAAATACTTTGACAACTAAAGATCAGTAAATTTCTTCCTCACCAGCTCAGACATTTCTCAGGAAATATCCACTAATCTCTGTAAAGCTCTATTTAAGCTGCTCTGCATACGGCTGACATAAGACAGAGATTCTAAGAACAATTCTTTTTAAAGGGATGTTTCAGGGGATATGTATGTCGTTGCCAAGGCCACCATGTGTTGCTCCTCCTTGGCTGCCCTTGAGAAGTTGGTGCTGAGCCAATTCTCAAACTGCTACAGTCAGTGGGGTGTAGGGACACCCACCCATTTATTAGGAAGTTCCAGGATACCGACCCTGCGACAGTGAAGCAATGACGATATAGTTTCACGGTAGGATGGAGAGAAACTTGCAAGTGGTGGTGTTGCTGTGAATCCATTGCCCTAGTCCTTTTAGGTGACAGAAGTCACAGGTGACAGAAGTCACAGATTTGGAAGCCACTGTTGACCGTGCCTTGCAGTTTCCTGCAGTGCACCTTGTAAATGGTACACACTTACCACTGTACATGGTGTTGAAAGGAGTGAATGTTCAATGTGGTGGATAGGCTGTCGATCATGCAGGCTTCTTTGGCCTGGATGGTGTGTAGCTTCCAGTGCATCATTAGAGCTGCAATCATCCAGAAAAGTACAGAAATCATGCCACATCAGGTTACAGCCCAACAGGTTTATTTGAAAACACAAGCTTTCAGGGCATAGCCCCTTCGTCAGGTGAAGTGAGAAAGAAGCACACAGAATTCATAAATCAAAGATTCAGATGTATTAAACAAATCTAAGATGCTGTTAAATCTTTAATCAGTTAGAAGGTTTTAATTGATTAATATGTATATGTAAATCCACCAATTTCTTTCAAGTCACTGCTCAGAGAGTACCAAAGGTTTTATCAGTGCAAAGAAGAGGTGACATTTCAGGTCAGACAATGCATGTTAGGTGTGACGCCTTGCTTAGAATCTGTTTGTGTTTTGGTTTGGACCCAGACTGGTTTTATTTCTAAAGTAGGAATTTATAAAATACCACATTGACTGACTTGGGGGGTTGGGGGGGGGGGGCGCGGTGAAGAGGGAGAGAAAGAGAGAAAAAGAGAGAGAAAGAGAGAGAACCCTGTGGCATGGTATAAATGGACACATGAAGGGACACCATGCAACACTTGCCAAACAGGGATGTTCACTCCCAGTGGAGGACCAATTCAGCGTTCAAGGACATTCAGTCTTAGATCTTTGGGTAAACAGCCTCCAAGGTGGACTTTGGGATACACAACAACACAGAATCGCCGAGCAGAGGTTGAAAGCCATGTTCTGTACCCATGAGGACGGCCTCAACTGGGATCTTGGGTTAATGTCGCACTATAGGTGACTTCCCTACACTATACATTCTCACACACACACACTTATACATATATGGTATGCGAGAGAGAATGTGTGTGTGTGTGTGTGTGTGTGTGTGTGTGTGTATACAGCGTGGTAGGGTCACCTGTAGCACACCATGAACCCAAGATCCCGGTTGAGGCTGTCCTCATGCGTACTGAACTTGGCTATCAGCCTCTGTTTGACGACTCTCCTCATTGTTGTGTATCCCGAAGTCCAACTTGCAGCATGTTTACCTGAAGACACGAGGCCAAATGCCTTTCACCGCTGAAGTGTTCCCCTACTGGGAGGGAACATCTCTGTTTGGTGAGTGTTGCGCGGTGTCCATTCATCCATTGTCATAGCATCTGCATGGTTTCACCAATATACCATGCCTTGGTCTCTCTCTGTCTCTTTCTCCGAGACACACACACAAATTTATATCTGCAGATACATTCTATTTTTTCAAAAAGCGCACAAATTTACAGTCAGTCAATGTGGCATTTTATAAATTCCTTCTTTAGAAATAAGATCAGTCTGACTCCAAACCAAAACACAAACAGATTCTAAACAAGGCCTCAGACCTAACATGCATTGTCTGACCTAAATCGTCACCTCTTCTCCACACTGAAAAAACCTTCAGTTTTCTCAGGGCAGTAACTTCAAAGAAATTCAGGGATTTACATATATATATTAATCAATTAAAACTTTCTAACGGTTTAAAGATTTAACAGCATTTTAGGTTTGTTTAATACATCCTCATCAGTTGTGTGACCATTTGATCTTTGATTTATGAATTCTGTGTTCTGTGTGCTTCTTTCTCACTTCACCTGACAAAGGGACTACACTCCGAAATCTTGTGTTTGCGTATAGCCCTGTTGGACTATAACCTGATGTGGTGTAATTTCTGAGCTTGTCCACCCCAGTCCAACATTGGCACCTCCACATTCGAGAAAAGTGAACAGTATTTCACCACACTCATGACTTGTGTCTTGTAGCCAGCGGACAGAAGATGTATAACAAAGCAGGAGGTGAGTTACTTGCCACAGAATTCCTAGCCTCTATCTGCTCTTGTAGCCACAGTATTTACCTACCTGTTTTGTTTTCTGACCAATGGTAATCTCCCAGATTTTAACTGTGAGAAATTCAGTCTTGGTACTGCCATTGAACATCAGGGGATATGGTTAAATACTCTCTCATTAGTCAAGGTGATTGCTTTGCATTTGGTGGGTGTGGAATTTTCTTGCCATTTATTGCCTAAGTCTGACTGTTGTCCAGGACTTGCTGCATATGACTGCTTCAGTATTTGAGGAGTCATAAATGGTACTGAACATTGTGTAATCATCAGCAAACATCCCCACTTCTAATTTTATGATAGGAAAGTTGATAGATAAGATAGCTGAAAAATTTGCACTGGGACACCATCCTGGGGAACTCCTGCAGTGATGAACGGGGTGGGGATGACTAACCTCAAACAATTGCAAATATCGTCCGTTGTGCTAGGGTATTACACATACAACAGAGAGATCTCCATTCCCCCTGCCAATGCCCCTGGCAGGCTGCAGGATAGCACATAAAACTCTACTATTTGAAAAAGGGAGGAGGGAAAAACCTCGGAGTTTCAGACCAGTTAGCCTAAAGTTAGCAGTCGAGAAAATGCTGGAGTATAGCATGTGTAAAGGATGTGATAACAGGGCATTTAGAAAACACAAAGGGATTACACAAAGTCAACTTGGATTTACCAAAAAGAGAAATAGTGTTTGAAAAACCTACCAAGTTTCTTTAAGGACATAACTGTTAGTACACATACGGGAGAAGCAGTGAATTTTCAGAAAGCTTTTGATAAAGTCCTATATAAGACATTGGTGGGTAAAATCAAAGCATGTCGAATTGATGATAACACACTGGCACAGATTGAGAATTGATTAATGGATAAGAAACAAAGAATAGTGTTAAATCACTTTCTGCGGGTAGAAGGAGGTGAGAGGTGAGGTACTACAGTGATCAGTGCTTCAGCAACAGATATTCATGATATATATCAATGATTTAGATAAGCGAGTCAAAATAGTCAAACTATTTCCAAGTTTGCTGATGACACATATCTAGGTGGAAGTGTGAATGGTGAGGAAGATGAAAAGAGGCTTCAAGGTGATTTAGACAAGTTGAGTCAGTGGATAAAAGCATAGCAGATGCAGTATAACATGGATAACCGAGACGTCGTCTTGATTGATTGAAAAAACAGAATAGCAGAGTATTATTTTAATGGTGATAGATTGGGAAATATTCAGATATGAAGAGACCCGAGTGTCTTTGTACACTAGTTGCTAGAAGTAAGTGTACCTGCAGCAGCAAACAGTTAGGATGGCAACTGACATGTTGGCCTTCATTGCGAGGAGGTTTGAGTACAGGAGCAGTATACAGAGCCTTAGTGAGACCACAACTGGAGTTGCAGATTCAGTTTTGGTCTCCTTACCCAAGAGAAAATACAATTGCCGTAGAGACAGTATAGTGAATGTTCACTAGGCTGATAGCATATTTATCTTCTGAGGAGCAACTGTTGGCTGGAGTTGTATTCACTGGAGTTTATATCAATAAGGGGGGATCTCACTAAAATGTATAAAATTCTGACAAAGCTGAGCAGAGTGAACGCAGGAATGATATTCTCTCCCCACCCCTGGCCAGGGGCACTAGGATAAGAAGTCACACACTCAGATATGAGGTAGGCCATTTCAAGAGACCAATGACCACAAGAATGGATAAGATGATCCTAAAGGTGAAGACAGGGATGTGGGCCTCAGCAGTATTGGGGATAAGGTTGATAATTTGCAACAGTGGAAATAAATCTTGATCTGTAGAACAAGCTTGGAAGGATGAAGCAGGATGTGGAAATTCCATACAATCTTGGAATGGGAAGCTGGGAGTAGTAAAAATGCACGTATTACAAGGAACGTCATCACTGTGTTAAGATTGATGCAAGAGTCCATTTGTCCAAATCCAACAAACTCTGTAGGATTTTTCTTCATTATGATAATTTTGCACAGTAACTCACAAACCAGGCAATTAATGAATGTTATTAACTAACTGCACTACAGAATTGATTTTTCCCATTCATTTCAATGCAAATAGTTTTGCTACACTAAGGGGAGGACCAGAAATGATTGTCAAAAGGAGAAATGAAGGGGTGGTTAAGAAGGCCTAAGGGTTACTTGCCTTTATTAGTTGAGGCATAGAGTTTGAGAGCAGGGAGGTTATGCTAAAACTGTAGAAAATGTTGGTTAGGCCACAGCTAGAATGTTGTGTGCGGTTCTGATATGCATATTATAGGAGGAATATGAATGCACTGGAGAGGGTGCAGAGGAGACTTACCAAGATGTGGCGTGGGCTGGAGAGACTTAGTTATGAGGCGAGATTGGATAAACTTGGTCTGATTTCCTTAGAACAGAGGACATTGAGAGGGGATTGAAATATATAACATTATGACAGCTATAGATATGGCAGATAGGAATGAAGCTTTCACTGTGTTTCTGCCACAGTGTGGTGCGTATCTGGAACTCACTGCCTGAGAGGATGGCAGAGGCAGTACTTAGATGTGGGCTTGCAATGCCAATGAACAGAAGGCTATATGCCAAGTGCTGGAAAATAGGATTAGAATAGTTAGCTGGTAGTTTTTGACTGGCGCATACTCAATAAGCTGAGAGCCTTTTAGTGTGCTGTAGACCTCTATGGCTCTATAAATAATTTCAAAGCAAAGTCCCCCATGTGAATAGACATAACATGCTGGGATTCCTTTTTCTACAAAGTTTTATGAAGGCAGTTGGTAGAATTAGTTGTAACAAAATTTTCAGTTGACAGGGAGTCAAAAAAGGGACTATAAGTATGGAATTTACACCAATCATCCCGATAAGGAACTCAGGAGATACTTCCTCACAGAAGGAGATGGGCTGTGGAATTCACTACCACAAGGAGCACTTGAGGCAAATGACATTGATACGAATAAGGGGAAATGAGATATGCACAAGAGGGAATAAGAGAAGGTGAACAAGTTAGGTAGAAGGTCATAGACCAATTGACCAAATTATCTGCAACTGTCCAACAGAATCCAAGAAATGCTGCAAACAGATGGAAAACTACATTTGTCAGACGGAAACACGAGAGGCAAAACGTTGATGGACCAAAGTGTCTCTGATTCAAATCTAATCTTTGTTATGATAACTAATCTCCACCAGCGGTGAGAGTTAAATGCTATAATTGACCTCATTAACCCTTTATTAGAAACAGGGAGGACAATCAGATTCGACAACTTCTCCTAATCTTCCAGAAAATGTTCTGTATGTGGACATTGGACAGCATCAGGTTTGGCTCTGAATTAGCTGTGAGGTCACCATAAATAAATAGGCTTTTGGTACTCATAATCATACCCCAGTAAGATCTTCATTGAAAATAAGGCTGTTCTCTCAACAGAACGCAAGTTAGCAGAAGTCCCTAGTCTTTTGATAACTAATTGTTCACATATTAATCAAAGTGCAGATGTTTCTTTCTCAAAGAAATTAGACAAATATTCTATACTGCAAAGAACACTTACTGTTTTATAGGATCTTACTTTAAATATATTCTACCTTTTGAGATCATTGGGGTCAAGTCTCAGGACATATATTTCAACATTCATGAAACAATACAAAATGATAAAAGCAGCAAGTTGACAATTCTGTCATGACCACTATAATTCATTATTCTGTGCAGCTAGCACAGTTTCCGCTCATTACCTTGAATCATTACGATTCATCCTGGACGAGCACCTATTTCATTACTGAAATTACTTGGTTCAAAGGCTGTCTGAAACAAACAAAACCAAATTGCAGGATTCTTTTCAGGATGGGGCAGAGGCTGAGAAGGAGGCTAGTCAGAAGCTCAACCGAAAACCTTACGCAGCTGGAAGAAACCATAGAAGTTGGAGCAACACATGGGAATCTAGGAGTGGGGTTTAAAATTGATTGTGGTATTTTTAAAGCATCCCAAAGAAAAGGGTTGGAAAGGCAGACAAGAAGAAATACAGAATTAACAGCAGGCCAGGGCTGACAAAGCAGTACAGAGGGTTAGATTGCTTGTTTAAACACAAGATAAAAAAAGAGGAGTTGAGCCATGGAAACCCATCCCAGATGTTACCCGTTGGCCCACCTGCATAACCAACAATGACCACATTCTGGATGTAGCTCCTTGGTCTACCTGCAAAACTGGCAGTGACACATCCCGGATGGACCTCCTTGACCTATCTGCAGAGCTGGTAGTGACCACATCCTGGATGTACCTCCTTGGTCTACTTGCTTAACCAGCAGTGACCACATCCTGGATGTACCTCCTTGGTCTACTTGCTTAACCAGCAGTGACCACATCCAGGATGTAACTCTTTGGCCTACCTGCAAAACAAGCAGTGACCACATCCAGGATGTAACTCTTTGGCCTACCTGCAAAACAAGCAGTGACCATATCTAGGATGTACCTCCTCGGTCTACCTGCAAAATAAGCAGTGACCTTGTAAAGCAGCTGCTGCTGGCACTGCCGCTATGCAGACTGATGGCCTCCATTGGCTGGTAACTCCAAGGAGGACCTCCAGGTGGGCATCTTGAAGGTGGTGGTGTTCCCATGTATCCACTGCCCTTGTCCTTCTAGATGGAAGTGGTCATGGGTTTGGAAGGTGCTATTTGCATTGTATCTTGCAAGTAGTACACACTGCTGCTATTGAGTGTTGGTGCTGAAGGGAGTTGGTGCTTGTGGATGTAATGCCGCTCAAGCGGACTGCTTTGTCTTGGATGGTATCAAGCTTCTTGCGTGTTGTTGGAGCTGCACTTATCGATGCAAGTGCGGAGTATTCCATCACACCCCTGACTTGTGCCTTGTGGATGGTTGATAGGCTTTGGGGAGTCAGGAGGTGAGTTGCTCGCTGCAGTACTCCTAGCCTCTGACCTGCTCTTTATCTACTGTATTTATGTAGCGAGTCCATTTGAGTTTCCGGTCAATGATAATCCCCAGGATGTTGATATTGGGCATTCAATGAAGGAAACACCATTGAATGTCAAGGGCCTGTGATTAGGCTGTCTCTTTTTGTTGTGTGGGGAAAATGTTACTTACCATTGTCAGCCCAAGCATGGATATTGTCCAGATCTTTTTGCATTTGAACATGGGCTGCTTCAGCAACTGAGGAGTCGTGAATGGTGCTGAACATTGTGATATCATCAGTGAACATCCCCACTTCTGACCTTATCTTGGAGGGAAGGGCACCCCTAACATTAACACAGTGGTGTTTTTCCAACTCCTACACGATGTGTTCTGAGCCCATGCTTACTGAGGGAAGTTGGTAGACACTATCCAAACCCATGTAAGCGAAGTCCTTCAAGCTATCAGGGAATGGGTAATTTCCAGCACATTGAGTGCAAACCCAATCTAACACACACTTCAACGATAAATGCATTTTTAATGATTAAACTTGCAAGAAAAATAACAGAAAATGGAGTAAATATGAAGTCTTAGTTACGTACTGAGACTGCCAAGCTGCTTTATAATGGCAGCTAACGTGCTGTTTGTCACACATTCCAACTCACTGGTGACACCTTCTGGTAAAGCCCCATGACACAGATGCCGAGGTTCAATGATCCTCTTGATGAGCGGCATCTTTGGTTCAGAACATCAAACCTCTGAAACATAATATACAACTTATGCAAGTTAGGCGGGTCAAGATTATGTCAAAGTACTATAAATAATGCGTCCAATGTCTTTTACAGGAATGAGAGATTAGTGATTATATTACAGAACGAACAATCCTTAGACCAAAACTGATAATCCCAAGAGTAACTTCAAATCCCACCATGTCAGCAGAGAGTTTTAAATTTAGTTGATGAATAAATTTGGAATAAAATACAAGTATCAATAATGATAACCTGTTATTATTCCAGCTGATGGTAATACTGAATAAGTCAAATCTCAGAGTAAAATTTGGCTTGGTAGACTGAGAAATTTATTTTTGCAATTTGGTTACTCTGGTGGTCAGTTACTGAACAAGTTCGCTCATGACTGTCAATATTCTTTTAACAAAAGAACACAAGTTTATTACACAGAAGGAAAAAAGCAAAATCAATATATGACAATTCAGAAAGATCTTAACATAAACAGCAAAAACAAAGCTTTAACTATCTTCCCAGCAGTTTCCTTTACAGTCACTGAATTTCAATAAAGTATTAAAGGGTCATACAATACTAAAGCACAGAAAGAGGCCTTTTGGTCCATCATGTTTGTGCCACGCACCTATGTACTCTAGTCCCATTTCCCAGCACTTCATCTGTAGCCTTGTGTGCGCTTTCAAGTGTTCATCTAAATATTTTTTAAATGTGATAGCTGCCACCTCTACTATCCTTTCAGGTAGTGGGTTCCAGATACCCATCATCGCCTGGGTGAAATTGTTTATCCTTAAATTCCCCGTTAATCCCCTGTCTATAATTCCAAGGCAGATGATGAGTGGCTTGGAGGGGAACTTGCAGGTGAGGGTGTTCTCATGTATATGCTGCCCTTGCCCTTACTGAGGCTAGTGATCGGGGGTCTGGAAGGCGCTATGTAAGAGGTCTTGGTGAATTTCTGCAATACATCTTGTAGTTGGTACCTACTGCTGCTACTGAGTGTTGGTGCTGGAGTGAGTGGATGTTTGTGGGTCTGGTGCCAATCAAGTAGGCTTTGAATTAGATGGTATTAATCTTCTTGAGTGTTGTTAGAGTTGTACTCATTTTGGCAAGTGGCGAGTATTCCATCACACCTAAAATGTATCTTCTAGATGGTGGGCAGGCTTTGAAGATTCAGGTGGTGAGTTATTTGCTACAGCATTTCTGGCCTCTGACCTTGTATTTGTGGGTCATAAACTCAATGTTACAAACATTCAGCAAATAACTCCTCAGAAATTCAGTTGAGTCATTTAACTTACTTTAAGTCAAATGCTTTTTTTTTAATTGTTGTCTTTTGTTCACAGTTCGAAATAACTTTCTGATCTTTAATAAAAAGTGACCTTCGTAGAATTGAAAACTGAAATTCATTTTTCGTCCACTTCTGAATTGATGTTCTCAAATAATAATAATAAGCCTCCTCATACCACTTTAGTGAACCAGAAAGGCTTTTATAACAATGGGTGGAAGGAAATCTGCTGCCTTTACCTGGTCTGATCTATATGTAACTCCAGACCCACTGCAGTGTGTTTGCTTCTTTAACTGCCCTCCAAAATGGTTGGTTAGCTTCTCAAAATCGGGACAATAAATTCTGGCCTTGACTGCAATACCCACATCCTGCAAAATGAACAAATGAAAAGGTCATTTGATATTAGATGAATTAGTGGCAATTTAATGACAACCTGTCATGATTACTGTTTTCCCTTAGGTTTTCTAAACTGAATTTAAAGTCTCCAGTTGCCAGATAAGATTATGAACTTATGCTGTTAAACCCTTAGGTGAGTACTTTGCATTACTAATCCAGTATCAGAACCACCGCAATATCAAATCCTGCAGTTTAACAAAAACAAGTTAACAACCTTCCTCAGAAAGGCAAGAATAATGGCCCATGTAGTAACCAAAAATCTCATCCTGACAAATTATTGGGTGGTCTTTAAAAAGAACTGTTAAATTTTGTTATAAACGTAAATCTGTAGAAGTTTTTAAAGCATTCATAATCCTCACTACACCTTGCAACAAAAGGAATTATAATGGGGCAGGATGAATAAACCTTTAAATTTAACCCTTGTGAGTATTGGAGCCCTTTTCTAAAAGCCCAAATTATCCTTGGCTGCAAAAAAAGATCAGAGGCACAGGAAACAATCACTTTCTTTCTATTACACCTCCAACATGCCCAATGACACACTGGCTACATTGAAAAGTGAGAACAGTATTTGGTGGTTACATGTATCCAATTAAACAACACTCTGCAGAGCCTCAATATCTCCAGAAAGCACAGAGCTCATGTTATTTGCTTCCTCAAATCATTTATTGTCTATGATTTTAAATATTTAAGGTATTATTTATTGTTTCTTTTATGGTTTTCTTATGTTATGCAACACAATCAGTTGATAGAGCAAGCACTCATTTCAAGCCAATGAGCCTTTACAGTAGACCAACAAAGAAAGTGAAACAGTTAGTAAAGGAACTAAACAATCTTTAAATCACATTTGTGGGAACCTATGATGTTTTTATCTGCTGGAATAATTTTGCAAGATGTGTCACATTGTTTCTGACTGCCTCAAGCTGCCACAATAAAAATTAATTAATTGTCTTTACTCATCCTGATTATGAAATACTCAAGCCTTTGGCTGTCCTGTGTAGTTGGATGTTGAAAATAGGTCGATGATGAAAATATTGCTGGCGGACAGTCAAAAAACTGTCTTCGTCAAAACAGTTTTTGCGACATCACATGAGAATTGGAAGTTGATTCAACGGTGATTGCTCCATCAGCCTATACTCTCTTGCCATAAATCACTTCCTTATATAACTACACACAAACATATAAATCAGTACTATAGAGGTAATCTCTCACACACGAAAAATTGCGGAATGCCAGTGCTGGGAAGCAGAATTTATTTTTCCTTCTATATTTCCATATCCCAACATCAAGTCCTCTCAAATCAGGCATACGCAGAGACAGGAAAATGCTGTCCAATTCTGTTGAACAATGTGCTTTCACCACAACCACTGAAGAGCAGCCTTTACTTATTTGTACAGATTTTTACATGAAGTATCATTGCTGCTTTTTTTAAAAGAGCATGGGCCTAGTTAGAATCAAACTTTGCATTCAAGGACTGCTTGTGCCATGGTTTGAGACTACCTAAACAAAATGAATTGAAATACATTTGTCAACTTTGATTTCACACTGGACCTTTATAGTTAATGCCAGTCAAAAGTAAGACTGCATTCAATAAAACCACTAATCATATAATAATCCATTTACAAAAAAAGATTTTGCTCTCTTGTTTACTTACCTGCACGCTTGCCTGTGATAAGCCAGATATTGATGTGTGCTTGAAGAAACTGATAGATTTAGTTGATAATACTACAAGATCCATTCAAGGGGTTTCTTTGAAATGTGAACGTGTACAGAGTTCTGGCGTTTCCAGCTGGATTTAATTTAAATTACCTCAAGGGAGCTTATGCATAAAGAATCGCTGGCTGACTATTTATATGCATATGTATCAGCCTCCATTTTGAATGTAGGTAAGCAAAAGAGACTGCATATCCCCACTAATGTATAGCTTGATCTCTGTAATTCTGGGCAAGTGCCAAGCAAAGGATATATACTATATATACCACAACAAGGAGCCTGTTATTTGACAACATTTCAAACACAGTCAACATCATTTTGTGCACAAAGTGGAAATACCATTGGCACATGCAATACTATCTTCCTGATGTCAGTACAGAACATATATGGCATCATAGGTTAAGCATTATGTTACTTTTTTTTGTGAATATGTCAAGATGACTCCATCTTTTCACAAAGAAACATTAAAATGAATTGCATGGACTTTAAAGTCTACCTACATCTATTTGTCACGCAAACCTGTAGCTAACAATTCAAGCCAATGATCATTTATTTTTGTTTAAAATATAGTCTTTTTGAATGTTCATCACTCATAAATCTAACCACAGTCCTTCTGTTTAAATGAGTTGGTGATTCAACTCTATTGCAATCGCAATTTAGTTTTTAAATGTTTATCTTTCTTCAGAGTGCTGTGCACATTGCAGATACTCCTAATGATCTGTAGAGGGAAGGCAATAATTCTCCAAGTGTACAGGCTGCACACAGATTTCACACACTTCAGTGGTTGTGCACAATTCCGCATCCATGGTGAGTTACAAAGCTCTGCATCTCCAATGGAGCATGCACAATTTGGGCAGTGAACAGCTGCTACTACACATCTGCGCCAGTCACCCACTCCCTACAGCAAACACAAAATCCCAGCTCTGTAATCTCAATGCACCATAAACATCATAAGAAATTAACAGTTAGGTTTTGAAGGCTTTGAATCACTTTTACATAAAAATGTAGGAATTCTGCTACAGTTGAGTTTTATTGGAGCAATATCATTACAGCTGCTAAGACAAATGGTAAATATATTTACACTCCTCATTGTTTGAAATACTTTGTTTAGTGAGCAGCTACAGCATTCAGATCAGGAAATCAATATGTTTGACTACCAGTCTGTGCAGAGTTACCTGATCAAAGCTGTGGCAATGATGGAGTCAACACAGCTCACCTTAGTGTCACTGGATTAAGGAGGAGAAAATCATCATAGGTTCTTTCTCTTAATCGTGTCAAGCAGGCTTGCTTTATTTGGACACAAAGGGAGATGATGACATAATCAGACTCAGCGGTTTATCACAGGCAGTGTTTAATCTTCTCCCTGTACCAATGGACAGAGTCAGTACACAGTACACCTTCAGCTTCATAATGCATATACAGGAAGCTGAGCAAAGTTCCATGAGGAAGACGCACTAATGATACAGCACTTTGTAGAAAAAGTTAAAGTATTCATCAATAATTAAATGTATCCCATTTGGATTTCTAATTTTCTTTTCTTATAAAATGCATCCTGATAGCATATACAGTTTTATTATTGACCCAAATGTATACTCACTTACAACTAATAGTCTTACATTTGGAAGAGGAAAAGGGCAAAATGGAACCTAAATATCTAACTGTATGTTATTTTATTATAACAGCAATTCTACCATCAACATTGGCTTTAAAGTCTTGCTGCTTAAGTGAAAGAAAATGTTGTAGGCTGGATTTTACACTTCTCCAAGTCTCTTATACAAGAAATGGAGCAGTAATGAATGGTCCACCTGCAAAGTTGACCAATTGAACCACTGTCAGGATTTACCTCTTGGCAGAAGAAACTCATACCAAAAGGTCCCCTGAGCCCAGAGGGCACCCCCATCCCCCTCCCTTGTGGGGAGGCGATGGCCTAGTGGTATTATCACTGGACTATTAATCCAGAGACCCAGATAATGCCTGAGACCCGGTTTGAATCCCGCCACGGCAGCTGGTGGAATTTGAATTCAATACAATATCTGGAATTAAGAATCTAATGATGACCATGAATCCATTGTCGATTGTCGGAAAAACCCATCTGGTTCACTAATGTCCTTTAGGGAGGGAAACTGTCATCCTTACCTGGTCTGGCCTACATGTGACTCCAGACCCACAACCGTGTGGTTAAGTTTAAACTGCCCTCTGGGCAAGTAGGGATGGGCAAAAAATGCTGCCTGGTCAGCGATGCCCTCATCCCATTAACGAATTAAGGAAAAAAAGAAATATCAGCGCCATCGGTTCCCCTCTTCTATTGGTGTCCCAAACCCTTGTACCCCCTAACCCCCTCACCAGAGTATGCCAATTTGGCACGACCCTGATACAGTGGCACTGTCCCCAAGTGCTGGCAAGCTTCCAGCCTCTTATTGACTGGCAGGTCTCTGATGTGGGTCATCCTGATCTAGAAGGGCAGAAATCCCACCTCCAGCCTTTTAACAGTCATTGGCCAAGCAGCCAGTGGGCCTCCTCCCTGATTCTTTAATCAGGTGCAGCCTTTAGAAACTGAAGTGACACCACAAGAGCATTCTAGCACCTCCTCACATTACACAGGAGACAGTTGTTGGTAGTTACTGAAGGGTTATTCATTTATAAAATTCATGAAATTCCAACCTGCTATAAATATATGTATACACTCATTACATCCATCTTAACTGAGGCAGGTTTGGGAGCATCCCAGTAACCCACTTCAGAGAATAGGCCTGTGATAAAGCAACAAGCCTACATTCCTCAGATTTTGGGTCCATTTAAATTGAACATTGATCAGCCATGTTTCCAGGGCTCAGAAAAAACAAATAACTTAAAGAAAGTGACAATAGCCACATCAAACAGATAAAAGCTTCCCAGCATGCATGCAGGCTGGGAGCAGTAGAAATGTTTTCCCTGGACACTCAAGTGACTCTTCCGCTACAATCAACTGTCTGACCTGTGGTCTGGCATCCTCACTCACTCCGAACCTAAAACCAAGTTCTCCCTCAAAGAAATCCCTCCTTCCCTCCCTCCCAACCGATAGTCTGAAACCCTCCTGTGCCTGGCAACCAGTGCTTCAACCTCCGCAATTTGCTGGCCCCTTCCTCCCACTGTGCTCCTACATTTTCTAATTGCTGCTGGTCCCAATTGCAACTTTCTAAAGCTGGCTCTCCCACATACCAAATCTACTCAACTGCCAGCTAAGTAACAGAATTAAAATAACTGTCATTGAACCTCTGGAGTT